TTGTAGATCTTGTTGATAGCTACGTGTGGATATAAAGAACGTCAAATATGAAGCTTGTATGCGAAAGTTATAAATTTTACATGATAATTAATTTTCTGATTAACAAGAGGGCGACACGTGTCACCATCTGGCATACACCTTCCTCCCCAAGGCTTGCGATATGATGCTGACACGTGTATCCCAGTACGCCCTGCATAAGTTAAGTACCCCCTGCATACTGGACCACTTCCAGCCAATAAATAGAACTCGATTTTCACTCTTTTCTTCACACGTTTCCATCCAAACTCTTCCAAAACCCTCCCAAGGTCCCAATACCTTTCTCTAGCACTTCCTAGGTGTTAGTAGCGAAGCTTCGGAGTGCCAGAAAGCCCCGAGAAATAGAGCTTTTGGTTTAGAAGTTCTGCCACCGCAGAGTCCGGTTTCTCGATAAACCACCTGTAAGTTGAGTTATGATTACCGTACTTTAAGTATAATTTATGTTTAAGTTCATTATCGTTATTATGAACCTATAAAAAAGATTTATTAGTAATTCCAAGTCGTTATACTGATTGATCTACTTACAGGAGAGGTGTCTAGAATGGTCACGTTGATTTGGTTATTGGATTTCAGAAAAACTATACGTCGAAATGATCCTGCCTCCCAACTGTCCTACCTGACTAATCCTTACTTGATAGATCTTGTAGTAGACTTTGAATTAATGATGAATCTAGAATAATAAATAGTCACAATAAATATTAGACTAAGACTTAGTGATAATGGTACTAGGTTACGTCAAAGGGAAAGATAGTTGCTAGAAGTGAAGCGTTGTCCGAATTTCGAATTGTCGCTTTAACAAGTGAGTGCATAGTTACTTTCATCTTACACATAGATATTAAGTATTTAATATAAATACATGTTATATGTGCCTATTATCTGTGTTCCTGATATCATTGCTAGATGAACGATTTATACATGTTTTAGTTGATTTAAATTGTATATGTATTTTTATACCTATAAATATATTGGGTAAAGATGGGTAGATAAAAGATGATATAAATGATGAGATATGAAAAATGATATAGATGATGAGAGATGAAAGATGAATAAATGATGAGAGGCCTTGAAATTAAAGATGACGTCATCTAGCAGAGTATAGATGACAACCACAGACTATTCTAGACAGTCCAATGGAACGCTAGCAGACTTGCAACATGTAGGTGTTTATGAACCATGTGTTCATCAAATGTCCTCTAAAAGCCCATTAACATGTATTGTGGGTGGACTCCCTAAAATAATACTGCCAATAAAGAAGATAAACCCCGACAGCTATGGACTTAGTTCTTATTAGATAAACATTGGCAGCTATGGACTTAGCGCCTAATAGATAAACACTGTCAGCTATAGACTTATTGCCTATTAGATAAACCTTGGAAGCGATGGACTTCATGCCTATTCCTTAGGAAAAATCCTTAGGAATAAATATAGAAGAATACCTACTGACAAGTATCATGGAGGAATCCCTGAACTAGTACTGTCAGCATAGATGATCCTTAGGATAGATCTTTAAAAATAAAGAAGATAATAGGGATGGGAAATTAGGTTAATTGTTTGATGATCAAACATATTAATTACATTATTGTGGGTTGAAAACCCTATGTACTCACCAGGTTTCCCAACCTGACCCACTCAGTTTATTGTATCACAGGTAGCGATATTAAAGATACATTATGCGGAGAGATTCAAAGAGTATTAGGCCACTAGTTTAATTACTGTAAGGCTTGTAATATTTCGTTATGCTCATGTTTTTGTATTGACGATGAAATCCCAACGTTTTAACATAAATAAAATACATTTCCTCGGAAATGATTTGATAATATCATTATCATGTTTTTGGGAACAAATTCCGCAATATTATCCTTCAAAAAAAGGATACTCTGATTTTTTATTAAGCATAAACAAATCAGTCTTTTCTGGGCGTGAAATTGGGGATGTCATAATGAAACCACAAGGTATGTTTTTATATCAAAATTAATAGAACATGTGTGTTTAATAAGAACTAGTGGGAGCATAGTGACATTCCTAATCTTGTATGAGTGAGACATACTTAATCATAAGAAAATATATTTTGACCATGTCAGGCCTTTTCGCCTTGACTCGAAATGCATTTCTAAAATGAAAGACATAGGAAGGACAAAATACATTCTTGGAGTGTAAAATCTATAGAGATAGATAAAATGAATGTTAAAAGCTTTATATACTTATGCATATATTGACACTATCTTGAAAGAGATCAAGATAGGAGATTCCTTTGGAGGAACCTTTACATTGTCACATGACACTAATTTTGAGCCAACCTCATAAGTACCTAGCTCACTAGCTGAAATGATTTATATTCGATTTACTTGGAAAATGAATCCATTATTTATGTCATATTATGCATAAGACCTAATGTATGATCGTGCTATGAGCATATCATAATATACTAATTGAATACATGGTTAAGTCACTGGATGACTATAGGAACATTCTATTTTTTTAGGTTTAATTTTCTATGTTTTTTTAATTAATGTAATGTGGTTTTAATTAATATAAAATATTTTATTATGTTTTAAATTATGTTTTTATTTAATTTAATCATAAAAAAATAAAAAAAGAAAAAAAAAAGAAAATTATGGAGTTGTGACTATTTCTTATGTCTAGTGGGTTGGTGGTGAAATTGACGTGACGCAGAGGTGACACCCCTTTTTCGGTGGATTGGTGGTGAGTGGTGACCACTCCCCACACTTTTAGGTTGGAGGGAGTGGTGTCACGGAAACCGCACTCCCCTCAATGCCCACATAAACGTCACATCATATTTTACCATAAAAATATGGTTCCTTGCTATACCTAATGAGTGGTGCCACACATTTTTTTAACAATTTAATTTAAATAAAAACTTTAATTTTAATAAAAAAACATAGCATATCTTTACTTCAAAATAAAAAAACATTACTCATATTAACATAAAACAATACTTCATAGTTTATATAATAAAAAAGATTCATATTGACAAATTTATTATTATCCAAATATTAAAAAAAAAAGAAGTAAAAAAAATAGAAAGCAAGATATAGAGGAGAGAGAAAAAAGTTAAATTGAGAAAAAATAAATTAATACATATATTTATTGGAAATTGACATTAAAAGAATTGGTCTTAATCTAAAAAAATTAGATTTTTAAAGAAAAATAAACAAGAAAGAAATAAAAAAAATAGAGAAAAAAGAAGAAAGAAAGAGACACTTTAAGAGACAAGAGAGAATAAAAGGTATCGCTAAAATATCCCGTAGTGCAGTCAAGACCGCACCCAAACTGCAGGGAGGGAACGGTGTTCGCTGCCTAGGTGGCAAGGGTACACTCCTTCTACCGCACCGCTCGCCCAAGCCTTAATAACACCAAAGCATATTTGACTTATATGCAAAATTTTTAAATAAAAGATTACATACTATAAATCTAGTATATAGTCAAATCTTGTCAATCATAATTAAATATATTTTATTTATAATTTATAATTTTATTATTAATAGTTTTATTTTCTTAATATTTATATTAATTATAAATAATATTGTTTATCCTAAATATTTTATTATTATATTGGTTGTATTATTAAATTTGATGTAGGTTGATATTTTTAATGCAACTGTGAGGCTATACCCCCTTCCAACTAAAACGCCATGGCAGATCCTCCCTCTTATTTCTTCAAGTTTATCCCTCCAGGCCACAAATTTAAGCTCGTAAGAACTTTTATGTATCATGCACTTGTATAATTTCCATTCACAAGCCACCAAACGTGCATAGTTTACTGTACGCTATATTTTTATACATACTGTTGTATTTGCAGGGCCGGCCCTAGGCCCGGCCAAACTGAGCGACCGCCCCCGGCCCCACGAAAGCTTGGCCCTAGGTCAAAATATTTATAATTAATATATATAGAGTACTTAAGTATATATATTTGAAATTCTTCGAAATTTAGCATAAGTTATTGTTGTACTAGTTGGCTGCAAAGTAGTGCACGTGCCTAAACATACCAAAACGTCCTATGTTCGAAGTCTTTCCGCCTCTTTTTGCCACGATTACAAACATGATTTGTTTAGGGTAAACAATAAACAAAGACAAATAATTACTCTTAACGGTCGTGGTTTTAGAACAAACAAATATTAAATGAAAAATATTAATTTTGCAATTGTGATTAAACTTTTATTTGTTTGTTTTAGATTTTTATGCGCATTATGTTTTCGTTTAACATTATTATAATATTATGGTTGTGTGTTTATTTGCATGTTAAGGAAACATGATTAAGAGAAAAGGATCGATATGGGCTTAGTGCTAACTATTAGATATGTTCGTTTTTTTCCAAGCATTCAACATATTTTATAATTGTTTATATTAAATTAAAGTAATCTGATGGCTCATTTTTTTTTATCATTTCTCCGAGCCGTTGATTGGCCTGGATCGGCCCTGATTGTTATCTAATTTTTTTCATTGCATATCGAATATTATTAATCATACATGTTACTATAGCATCAATAGAAAAAAAAAATTTAATTTAAATTATTGAAAAGCTATTTAAGATCATCTATGTCACAAGAAAGATTGAGTAGTTTGGCTGTATTATACATCGAAAAATATATGTTGGACAAAATTCACCTTGATACTATTTATAGTGACTTGCTTTTAAAAAAATCTCGTAAATATAATATATATATATATATATATATATATAGTTTTTCTTTGTTATGTTTGTATAATAGGGTTCAAAGCATGTTTTAGCCTTTTTATTTTCTTGTTTTGTATTAATAGTTTTAAGTTTTTTGGCTTGGAAGGTTTGTACCAAAACTTTTTTTGTTTTCATAAATGGGAAGTCCTTAGCCTACAACTGTATTTTTTTTTTTAACTAATAAAACTTTTGGGAGGTGCCACCATCCTTTACCAAAAAAAAGATATATCTATAATGTAAGGCCCCATTTTTTTATTTCGCCCCGGGCCTCAAACTGTGTTGGGACGGCCCTGTGTATTTGCAGTCGATTCCAAGTTCTTTCTTGATGAAGCTGAACCATGGTAGATGTTTCAAAGCGACACTGAGACGGGGTGTCACGAATGGTCGGTTGACATTGACGACGGGGTGTTTGGTGACGGCTGGAGGAGGTTTGTGAGAGAGAATGGAGTGCAAGAGTTTGAGATTATTCTGTTCAAACATCAAGGAAGCATGGTGTTCGAATTTTTAGTGTTTGACCAATCTACATGTGAAAGACAATACCCAAATATATTTGAAGAAATGTATGTAGAAGAGCTTTCCACAGAATCTGATACGATCTTTACACATAGTAAGCTCTCTAGTCTCTAGTATCCCTTTTCCCAGAGGTTGTAAAATACCTTCGATACTGTTTAATATTTTGTACTTTCAGCTCTAGAATGGCATAACATATTAATTTTAAGTTCATCAGTTTAATTATACATATTAATTAAATTTATCCGTAATTTAAAGAAATGGTATATATGAAATGGTTATTCAAAGGGCTGAAGAACCGCAAAAAGCGCAAGAGGAACGATTATGCATCTGATCAAGACCAGGAAAATTTTCAAGTAAAGAAGGAGACTGGTTTTACAAAGAAGAAGGCAACTACTTTGACTCCCAACAATCACCCATATTTTATTTCAAATCTGAAGCCTTGCAGCTTCAAAATGTCGGTTCTGGTAACTTTCGTAACCCTTAATTAATATTATGGTAAAACTCGATAACTTGTACATGTATATTCGGTTTAATCATTTACATATATTATGAATTTATATTATTTCAGCATCTTCCTATTCACTTTACGACACCAAATTGTTTTAAAGTTGGAGAACTGATTCTTATAGACAATCAAGGTCGATCATGGCCGGTTTATCTAAACAAAATAGATAAGAATCGGTTTTATATTGGATGCGGTTTTAAAGCTTTTCGTGTTGCGAATTCCTTAAAGGAAGGTGATGCATTCAAGTTTGAGCTAGTCGAGAAAGAGAAGAACAAGCCTCCTGTAGTCAACTTTTTATGTATGGTATTTTTTTTTTTCCTATTTAGTTTATCAATTAATCTTCGAATTATTTAATGTCCACAAATCAAAATTTTGTTTATTTTATATCGGAGGTCCATTTCGTTTTGAAGAAGATGACCGACGCTACATCATGGGAAAACTGAAGTCCAAGTTACACCAATTGGTAATTGAAAATAACTGGTCAATTTTTCTTTATAAGAAAGCTCATTTTGGGGAGGGAATCATTTGTAAAATTTCTTATTAAGAATTGTGGTTATTGTAGTATCTCCCACAAGACTTTGTGAGGTTAAATGGGTTACTCAATAAGAAAAAGGTGATTCTTAAAAATACCGAAGACGAAAGGTTATGGTGGGTCGATTTAAAGAAGTATAAGAACATGACTTGCTATATTATGGGACAAGGTTGGAAAGATTTTCGTGTTGCAAATGGATTGAAGGAAGGAGATTGTTTCAAACTCTCGGTGGTCGATGGGGATAACCCCATAGTTAGCTTTTACTTGCAAAAAAAATCATTAAAAAATCGATAGGTAGGCTTTCTTATCGTTATTATATTGATGTACGTCAATGTTATCTTTCATATAACAAATTGGCCAAAGCCTTTAATCTTTCAAGTATGTAGTGCTTACAAGTGATGTTGCACCCTCCCTGAATGAAACCTTAATAAATAATGAAAATGTTTTTGTTTCTTGTGATTGTGAGGTTCTTTTAAATTTGTCACATGTAATTTTTTTTCTTAGTATTTTTGATTAATTTGTTTTCCATGTATCATTTTCTTATTTATTCTATTTTTATTTTATTGACACATTATTAATTTATTTAAGGCGGTTTATTATTAGAATAGAATAAATTATTATAAATGTGATTGATAATGCCAAAAACTGTTACTTCTTTCTCTTGATAGAAAATATTTCAAATTTTTAAAAGTTTTGGTCTATTAAGATTCAAATGAAATCATATGTAACTAAACAAACATCTAATATAAAGTAGTGCATTTCCAATTTATTAATTTTTTGTTTATTGTAAAATCGTCTGAAGCAAGAAAAAATAAATTTGCTTATTGAACTTTTGGTTTGTCTTGGTTTGAACTGACTTTGATTTTACATTTGAATTTTTATTTTCTGAGATTGTGATAATATCATATTCATTTCTATTCAATATTCGTAAGAGCAATTTGAATCATGTAGCCCAAATCAAAGAGACTACAAATAATACTAATGAACAATCCTAATTAATTATATAACATAATTGAGGTTGTGATGATTATGTGGTATGATAAATTGATATACTTCAAATTTCATGAAATTTTATTTCTATTCTGACATATATTTTATTCATAGAAAGAATGGATATTTGGTTAATTTATATATTTGTTTTTTAAATAACTAGAATTATAATGGCACTATTTCTTACAACATGTTTAAATTTAACAATTATGTAATTTAACTATCTAATATGTATTCTTAAAATATCAATTTTAACATCCCTTAATATTTCAAAAATTCATATAAGTTTATTTTTATAAAAAGGATTCCAAGCTTGAGAAAAAATTTCATCATTTGATGTTACATTTTTTTATGGAATCAAATCCTTATTGATAACAATTTCCAAGCTTGAATTTATATGTCATATGATCGGTGTTTGTTAATTGTTTGTCCTTTCTCTAGGCTCAAGTCATCGTTGTTTTTGTGGACTGCATAATCAATTACTAATCTTCTCATTTTGATGCGTCATATAGACTTGTAATGTAGTTAATCTGTTATCAAATGTATTTAATTGACATTTATGTTTTTTTTACCATCAATGTGTTTGTGATACCAGATATAATCAGGAATGGTTCAAATTGAATGTTTTTTCGTTTGACATCTTCATTTTCCCCTTAATTGATTACTAAACTTAGTACAACACAGTCTTTCACCTTATGATGTCCTTAATATGACTAGAAAAAAAATTAATGTTGACTTTAAGGATACTTTTGGGATTTTGTCAAAATAATTGTCTTTATCGACATTGTCAACTATGTAAATTGGCATTGTACTTGCAATACTCAATTAATCATAGAACATCTTATTTCAGTATTAGTGCAGTAAATAACTATGCACTAATATTTTATGTATAACTTATCATATTTTAACAGTATAGTACGGTACAGGGGTAGAATGATAATTTTTTTATAGGGGCGGAATGGTTTTTTTTATGCTTAAGAGACAGATTGGTCAGTTTCCACTAGTTGTATGTTTTGCGATGAAAATAAACAAAAATCATTGACAATCGCTATCAAATGTGGGTTTGTTTTTTAGACAACCAGTGTTAGGGGTTGTTTGTTTACCTCTTAATGCCTCTTAAAAGGAGAGATATCTGAATTTTTTCAATTAAGAGTGTTTAGTAGTATCTTATTTTTTGCCTCTTAATTTTCCAAAAGTCTCTTAATATTTCAGATATGAGTACGCATCTGAAAAGAAAAAAGAGGCACGCGTATTTCATTTTTCCTAACCTACCCTCTTCAGTTCACCCTCCTCTCTTTTTCTTCCAGCCATCAAAAATACCCGCCTCCATCCTCTCCGTTGCACTTCACAGAGGACCACTACCGCCCGTCGCACGCACTACCTCGGTCACAGGTCATCGTCGACACCACCACCCCCTTCTCCTCCCACTCACCCCCACTCCGTTCTGCCTCCCTCCGGCTAGAGACGCCGCCTTTCTTCCCCTCGCACGCCGACCGCCGTTGCCTACTCCTTCTCCTCAATCGCAGTGAAAATTTTACTGTTTATTCTACAAAAACATGGAACCAGTTTTAACAGATAACAATTTCTGATGATTTCGTTTATTCATATTGTTTCTTAACTCTGATGTAAATTTCCAGGTAGAAAACATGAGATAGCAAGGTTCCCAAACTATCATTCCATTATAGATGAATTCCGATATAAAAATGTTGTTTTTTATTTCCATTGTCCAAAGATTAAAGGATGTTTTTTTATAAAGGTGTTTAGTGTTTACATAATTATTTGAAGGTATTTGGTGTGTTGAATGTGTATGCAGGACTATGGGATTTTGTACAATGAATTTTGCACATAAGGTGTTCGATGGAATGCTCGAGAGAAGTTATGGTGAAGAAATTATAACTATACATATGGATATGATTTTTGTGTGTGCTCTGATATTAATTTTAGTTTCAATTGACAAAAAAATTGCTTATATATATTATTAGATTTCCGAACATGTCAATTTTATATGTATTTCAAGTTGTGTTTGTTACGAGGGTAAAATGGTCATTTTTATCATTTGACACGGAAAATTCAGATGTTTCAAACAAACAACATTTTAAAAATTCAGATCTTAAAAATTCAGATCCTCTTAGAAATTCAGACCTCTTAAAAATTCAGATCTTATGCCAAACAGCCCCTTACTCATAGACAGTTGTATGTTGCATTGCCCAAAGTTAAAAACAATGATAGATTGAAAATATTAATTTTATACAATGACAATAACCTTAGCAATAAGACATCTAATGATGTATTCAAAGAAGTTTTTCGAAATCTATAATTCATAATAATTATTTACATTATGCCATTACTATATTTTATTAATTTGGGTTTAATTATACATACTTATTTATCAAAGTCTTTGTATATGTAAGTATTACTTTATAAATTGTTTAATGTTCATAATATTAAATATATTTTCTTAATATACCCGTATAATATACGGGTCTCGTATCTAATTTGATTTATATTTTAATATACTATAATATACGGGTCTCACAACAATTCTTACATATCGCATAAAAGTCATGATTGTGGATAAGGTGGTGTAATAGAGGATAATGATACACTTAGAGATACGATGCAGTTAGAGATAGAATTGTAATTTTAAATGACGTCATGAAAAATATATAAAAGTTAAATGTTATATTTATAAGCGAATCAGTGAAAATATGTAATAAATTATTGTTTTTAAGTTTTCATCAAATATACTTCGAACATATTATTAATTCAAATCTTTAAACATTAATCACAACATTAATGCTAAGTTCAAACTTTGACATTTTGGTAGCTCCAACATTTACTCATACTCGATTCCTTTGAATTTAATGCCTCCCACCCCATCTTTGGAACTTGATCCTTTGGGAAACTTAAAATAAATAATCTCTGAAAATATTAAATTTATTTTGGACAAATATAGAACACTTATATAGAAGCTAGTTTAAAGGGAAATACAAAAATTGACTAATATGATATAATTTTTTTTTATTTTTTTTTATTTCATAATAAATATAAAAATTTAAAGTAATTGTATAATCTAAAGCAATTTTTTTTTGTTAAATCAAAATTTGTATTCAATCGTATCAAATATTTAATATTGTTTGAGATTTTTTTTTCAGTGATATAATTTTATATCTCGTTCTTTTTTTTTTATGTTAAGTAAATAAAATGTTATAAAAAAATTCTTGGATGCATTTAATATGATAGTATGTATTTGCAGTTAAAAAAAAGGGGAAACAAATTTGATTTTGTCTAGATGCATTTAATTTGGATGCGTTTAAAAATTGGAGAGTTGGACGATAAATTATTGTTGAATTTTTGAATAAGATAAATTATTGTGTTACGTAAAAAAAATATTAATTTACATCATTAAATGTTATAAAACAAATATGACGTAGAAAACAACAACACTGTAATCAAACTAGTTTTTAACGTGTAATTGTTTATGGAATTCGATTAACATATGTATAACTCGAAATCTGTTTCAGATTAGCCAATAACTGTTTTCAAATTAAATAGCTTATGTTCTTCCACGTTTCGGATTAGTCTGTAACTGTTTTCGGATAAAATAACCTAATTTGTAAAGAAAGTTACAGATTTGGATGATCCGATTTTTAAAAGTTGGTTTCGGATAAACAAACAAGACCTTTAATTAACTAAAACTAAAAAAAAATCGGATAGTCTATCTTTATAAAAGAGGGGGCCTATTTGCAAAAATATTTAAGAATAAATCGAAAACAAAAAAGAAAAAAAGTCGGAAAAGTATATAATTTAATCGGAAAAAAATCAGAAATATCTAAATAAAAAATCAAATTAATTAAGTTACAAGATAAATTAAATTATAAGTTTATTTAAATAATTTATATATTTGATTTAATAAAAAATAATTATCAACTAAATTACAATAAAAATAATCAAGAAAGAAAAAATTAATAAAAAATAAAAGGTGATTTGATAGATATGTTAAAATATTAGGCCTTTTTAACCATGAAAAAATAGTTTAATACCCGTCGGTGAACAGATTTACCGATAAATAAATAACCATTAATTGTTTGTATAATATAATTGTCTATACAATTAATGACGCATTATATTGTGTCAAATAAAAAAAATAGTTACTTGAAATATAGATGTAAAAACAATGAATCAATTTTACTTTATTTTGTAGCACTATACTTTTATTATTACATTTTACTATGACAAATCTACCTGATTATATAATATTTTTAAAATTTTGTAAGACTTTTTGCACAAATTTTTTATAGACTTTTTACAGTATCTTTTAAACTTCCTTTACAATCGTGTTTACAAATTATTTCATAGCCTTTTCAAAAAAATTACAATTTTATTTTATTTTTAAATATTTTTAAACTTATTTTACACAATT